GCTTAGTTGTTAGGTAAATTTATGTAATTACAATAGTAGTTTCAAAAATCTTAATAAAGCACTAGCGTAACTGCTTAAATAAAAAAAAAAAAAAAAAAAAAAAAAAAAAAAAAATTTGAAAAATAAATACTAATATAAAGAAATTAGAAAAGCAAAAACCTCTAAATAAGAGAATAGCAATCCTAATATAATGGTTGAATTGTTATTCTTCAAGTGGCAGATTTAAGATTCAAATTTTATTTATGCCAAAATTTGGTATTTAACTTGTGTTACAGAAAACTGTCTTCTGTCAATTAGTTAAATTTAGGCATTTGTAATTTTGGATACAATCAATTGGATTCTATTCATCATTGAGAGCTCAAAGCATTTATACAAAATATAATGTTACATATATATAGAAAAATGTTAATAATTAGTGTTGTATAAGACTTCAATGCAAACTCATAATAAGGTTACTAGACACTGAAGACCAACAAACTAAAAAAACAGAATTTTACTTAAAATTTCTGAATAAAAAGGTAGCACAAACCTTTAATAATGTTGTTAGACTAATGAAAGTCCAAAAAACTCCAATAAGAAATAGGCAAATATGCAACCAGATAATAAGATATATAGAGAAGCATATAACCAATCAGGCTATCAGAATCATCAAAGAAAAAAGATACTAAAAGGTATACTATATTGGACTATTTGAATTGAAAATCTGTAAAGTCAGTTAAATTTTAAGTTGAATAGTAGAAGAATAAAGAGATGAAGTTAAAAGATAGATACCAGAGTTTAAGTGAACTTTATAAGAGTAAAAATAATGTAATATAGTAGTTAAACAGATAACCCCTATAACTGCAAGTGTTAGATAACTATAGTGTATTACATAAAACTAGATTAGCTATATATAGAATATAAAAGGCTCTAGTAATGATACTTCTAAGGATACATTGTATGAAATAAGATATAGACTTATAAGAATATTAATAAAAGTATCTAGATCTTCATAACTAATATATGTATTAGAAATTATTTAGTAACACAGTAGGGATTGCAGTACAGAAGGTTTAAATAGATAATGCTTCTAGTTGGATTGCAAATATAACAGTTAGTGTAGAATTATTAACAAACTGCTTAAATTAGATACCAAAAGTGTATATGTAGCTAGTTGTACTCTTTAATCTTAGGTAACTTCTTTGAGGTCTTGACCACAGGTTCCTATATTTTAATTTACTGAATGAAGTTCTAGTTTCAAAAAAGGCTAGTTTATATTCAAAAAAAAAACCTCTAAATAAGAAATATTACTAACCAGACTATTAAAATTCTAACTAAGAGAATTAAAAAAAAAGATATTAGGCTAACTTAATATATTAATAGACTAATTATAATCTTATACAAACCATCAAATTAGAAATTAAAAAACAGAAGCAAAGGTATACTAAAGTACTAAAAATATGCTATAAAGTGGTACTGAGATTTGAATAAATTTTGCAAAAACACAGCCTTATTAAAGTTTGTAGAATAAATAGGTAAATTAATAGAAAACTTTTTGTGTTTTACTGTTAAATAACAGACTTTGTTATAGTTTAGATATTAGTATAAAAAAAAATAAAGTTAAATTTGAATGCTCTTTAATAAAAGACAGCAACAAAGTTGTTTAGCTTAGAATAAAATAGTTAAAAGTATATAAATACTAATTAGATAAGCCAGAGAGTTTAAATAAGATATTTACAAGTGAATATCAAATATAGTAGATAGTAAATAACCTTAGAACAGAACCTTTAAATAGACAATAACTAAAGTTGTATGTATGACTAGTTGTATTTTTACAAATTATATATGTATTTAAAACATTATTAATTAATAAAAATCATCAATTTAGCTAAGTAATTAATTATTTATTAAAAAAAAATTTTTAGAAGAAAATAAATAAAACAAAAAATATGCATTGTACATCAAGAAAACTTAGTACAAGACAGACTATAGCAATCAAGTACATAATAAATAATCTACTAATACTAAAAAAACTAAATAAAAGAAAACTATAAGTATATATATACAATAACAAAATATTAGATCTGCTAAGAAAAAAAAAAGAAACCTAAACATATTTAGTATGCTATAGTAGACAAAAAAAATTTGTAGAAGTAGATCCAAAAAGTGGCAACAGTAATAGTATAAAACAGGTTTTAGAAAAAAGAAGATAAAATACTATTATAAATATTATACAAAGCATTATTTAGAGTAATAAAAGCAAAAAAAATTACAAACAGAAAAGCTTTAATAAAAAAACTTATAATACATAAAGTAAAAGAAAAACTCAAATAGTTTTTAAACTGACAGACAATACAGAATTATACAAACATAGTAGCTAGAATAGTATAAAACATATTTTATGACCAAGTATAAAAAGTCTGATATAAAAAAATACAAAAATATAATAAAAGACCAATATAACAAACAAAATGAAGAAAGATGCTTAAATAAAAAAATTTAAATTGACAAAAAAAGAAAAGTAAGAAAAAAAAATAAAAAAAGTAAATTGAATATAAAAAAAAGCATGAAAGGCAATTAATATACTTGCTATAAATAAAAAAAGATTTTTCTAGTATAGCTTTAAGTAGTTAAATAAGCAGTTTATTTCTAACTAAAATAATACACAGGTTGCACTTAGATATTATTAGAGTAACTAAATAATGCTAAACTTAAATATTAGAAAGTTTTATGTATATAGTTTTAAAAATTTTAATAAAATACTAGCATAATTGCTTAAACTTAAAACAATAAAAAAATTTTAAAAAATTTTATTTTAACAAGTTTTAAAACTTATAACCTGTTATTTAAAAAAATAATAAATTATTTTTATTTTATTTTATTTTTTTAAGGTGACCTTTTTGGTCTTTTGACTTTTATTAATAATTTTTTTAATAATGTGATTCTATAAACTACTACAAAAAAAATATACAATTGACTATACATGTAACTTTTCTATATTATCTATTTAAGAAGTTTACCTGAAAATTCCTTACCAATTGCTGTATCTAATATCTCTGCTTATAGTATAGACAAGTGCCCTATAATAATAAAAATTATTAATAAAGACCCTCTGAACCCGTCAAATATAATAACGTTCTTTAAAGTCTTTATACTTATCTCGTGACGCTCCTTAACTTTCGCCTTGACCTTGTGTCAAATCATAAATCCGCCTCTACTACTGTTGAGAAACGTTACGCGGCATACTCGATTTTCAAGCGACAATTCGTCGCATTTGCCTCATCTCTAAACTCTCCCTATTAGCCTGTTACAATATGAATAATGATCTACATTCACTCTACCTTTAAAGTGAAAAATAAATACAAGATAAAATCAAGATGTAGATACATTCTTAAAATTTGAGCTTTTTTGATTTTAATTTTAGTTTAAATTTGCGCCTTTTGGGAGAATTGATTGTCTTAGCCGTTTTTTCATCGGAATTATCACTATTTTCCGACTTGTTTTCAAGATAAACAGAAAGCTTCTGTAATGTACATATAATAGCTGTCTATTATGTGAAAAAAAAGATAATAATGAGTTCCTAAAATTTTATAACATTATTAGAAAAAAATTTTTAATACCCTTAAAATTAGCAACGAATGGATAAGTGGATAAACAGTATCAGCTGATACTGTGTGTAATGGTATAGTCGCTCGGGTTAGTAGGCAATTTTAAAAATTCCATATTCCATACACATATTATAAATTCTTAAATCATCTCCTATAAATTTACTTGTTAGATTTGTCTGATAATCAACCATTTTTTCTTGCCTCAACATACCAGCGACATTGATAGAAAATATTGATAACAAATTACTCAATATTCCCTTTTTAATGTATTGCTTAAGATGGGTCCTTGCAAAATCCATCGTGTTTGTTGCAAGTCGTGCTAACTTTAAACGAACTTGTTCCTGTTTTCGTTTAGAAGAATTTGGGCGACCAGTCTCCATATTTAAAAGATCAATTCTTTGATCATTTAAATATGCAATAAACATAAGATCTGATCTATATGCGATACGTGAATCACCTTTTTGTATGGCATCGGGCCAACTTGCCATATCACCCCTAATTTTTAATAAATAAAGTAGGCACCTTTTAATATCATCCAAAACGAAAACTGAGTTACTTACCATATCCTCCAAGTCTCATTTTTTACTGATAAATCACCCAAGGCAATGCTAAATAACGGCGCCAAAACTTCGCAAACATAAGACCCCTCCCTCATTTACAACCGTCTGGTTTAAAACATACGACTTATATTTTGGCGAAATCCAAACCTGATACCTAAAAATTATATTATTTTTATTATATTACCAGCAAAATAATACAGCTATTAATAAACTTACAATGCTTCCAATAATCGTTTCGTTATACTTTTCAAGTTTTCAGAATTCTCTATCCATTGGCCGAATGGAGGATCACAAGTTTCCAATGTGGTTCCTCTACTCTGATATCTACCTTTTGAATATACTCTTTGCAAGTTTGCAATAACATCTCATTGTTATCCATACAAAATTCCTTTTGGTGTTTTTTTCAAAAACATTACGAAGAGTTTCCGGTAGATCAGAGATAGGTGATGAGTCGATATCTAATATACCAGAGCAAAGTGGGTGATTATATGACAGTTTATTCAAATCAACATTCTTTAAGTCATTCTCCAGTCTTTCCCATAGAAGTTTCTCGTCCTCTGAATTTGCGTTTGCTACGGCCTAAAACTTTTGTTAGTAAAATAAAACAAAAAAAATATAGCATCATAAGAAAAAATAAACATACATGAGCTACATTCCACTTTAACATATTTAAATTTTCTTCTGCATGATCGATCCAAGATTCTGTATCCACATTCTGCAACATTTATATAACATTAGTTTAATATTATAAACCAAACCGATATGAAAATCTGCTAATTATACATACTAAAGCATTCAACTCTAAAAGTGAGGCCATATCTTCAACTGCAGTCATTACCTAAGCCAAATTTAAAAAATATGTTGTCTGAAATCATATAAAATTGATGGCACTAAAACACCCGTGCGGGTTTCAGATATTGATAGATTTATTCATCATCGGGCCCTTATTACAGATATTAATCTAATCACAAATGTTGATAACACACAGTAACAGCATCCAACTACTATCTTCACCAGACTACCTATTACCAATATGCTTCCACATTTGCAACCAGTGGACACAATCATCATGATTACACCCGTTGTTCTAAAACTTCACCTTCTCCAAAACTTTGAAGTTTTTCTAGACGCAACGAATTTTCGTTTGGAACAAGTTTTTTCACTTTTTCTAATGTTTGAACGAAATTCTGGACTTCTTGATCATAATTTCCAGACCAATGTCCCGATTCTACACGTTTATACAAGGCAGTTGCAACTGTATTAGTTGCTACTGGTTCGAAAGTTAATAAAAAGTTTTCCATTTCAGGATTCGAGTAAAAAGAGTCGTTTTAGATATTAGTTTTGGTATAAATTACCGAGATAAAATCACTAATAAAGCGACAAATAACTATAACTTCGAGATACTGTCCTTTTATACGTTCTCCTTCATCTCTTCTCTGAAACTCAAATGTATATAAGGTTAGATAGAAGCAAAAAACATGTGCTCTTACATCAAATGGTTTCGATAACAGGAATTGATGCATGCACTTTACAAAGAAAATTCTAGGGATGTTAAGTAGTCCGCAGGGGGTCGGGTTCGGACCAGTTCTGGACTGGACTTTTTAGAGACCGTCCAGAATCTATCCGAAACTAGTCCAAATTATCACATGGCATGAACCGAGATCGTTTTTGACATCTCCAATGGAATTTATATATAGCATGAATCAAAAACAATGGTTTCATATCACTGAAATATAAATGAGTCTAAACTTAATTTGGGGATTAATAATATTTATATTAGATAATTACACATTCTGATCGAATTATGACAAAATTAGTTAATGCATGACTATTTTTTAGTCTTTTTTGTTTTCTTTCGTTCTTTAATCAATAATTACTTAAACGAAGTAGTAGGCATAATTACATCAGACTTAAATTTGTTAGTCTAAAGTTCCTTTAAATATAACAATGAAACAAAAATTGATTATTTCACTTGCAACAGTGTAATATGAATTGATACATAAGGGATGAACAAATACTCAAAATTCGCGGGTGATAACTTTAAGATATGCTCAAATACTAAAATCATAGGTCCAAGTACTAATAAATAATGATAGTCATGATGGAAAAGGATCATTTTTCTATTTTTTTTAATTGATAAATGATATGAACAAATCATAACATAATTACAGTGGACGATAACATTATAAGTTTGAATTTTTACCTGATAATTGTTTTATTTGTAAAAAAAAAAAAAAACAAATTATAATAAAAAATGATACTCTTATAATCATCTCTAATGAACAATCACATAATCTCTCAAATCAAAGTACAAACACATCCTGTCTTCTCCTTCTTGTTAACAATTGTTTTTTTTATTGACAATTGTTTTTTTCATCAAGCATGTGGTATGTTTTATTCAGGGATTTTTTTATTTTTATATTTGCATATATAAAAATATTGTTATATATTCTAATTTTCAACAAAATTTTAAAATCTTTATAAATCCCATATAGCATTAGTTGTAACATATCATTTAACAATTCTGATACAAATCTTATTAGTTATATTATGTCATATAACAATTCAGAATCCTTACAAAACTTTATACTTATTTGTAATATCTTTTCTTTCTTAAATATGAATGTCTCTTAAACTAATGAAACTAATATTAAAAGATCAAATGAATAAGGTTTCAAGTAATATAAAAATACTTATCTTCTTTGGGTCTATTTTGAATTATCTTTAGATAAAAAATGAATTTATTATAAATTATATAAGTTTTCAAATAGAACATATAGAAGAGATTCTGGCATTAATACAATTAAATATTATTTTGAAAATAATCATAAAAAAATATACCAAAAATATTAATCTAATTTATAGGCAGTAGAACCTTATAATATTTATAATAAAGAAAATATAAGAAAGTTGAATGAACTTCTTATTTGTTAAATTATCTACAACTAGCAAGTATTTTATATTGTTGAAGATAAAGACTTTTGAATCTTTATTTTTAAATTTAATTCCTGTTACAAATTATCTACAAGACAAACAATTTTAAACTATATTAAGTTGTTATATAAATATAAATAAGAACAGTTATATAATTATTTTAGAAAATTTAATTATAAGGTTTTAATAACAACAGATGTATAGTCATCATTTACCAACTAGACATTTCTATTAATTATATTGTATTGAATTAATGACTAATAACAAATGTAACATATACTTTTAGATTTTATTTCACTTCATAAAAGATACACAGGTAGTTTCTTAATTGATACACTTTTCAATTTAATCAAAGACTTTGGATTAGAAAAAAAAATTCTATTAATGATTGTTAACAATACTAGCAATATGGATGCATTTAGTTGGATTTTACAAGTATATTGGACTTTTATTACAATAATATTACTTTTTATTAATTAAGGTATGCTGTGTATATACTTAATCTTACTGTTGTTAATAGGCTTTCTGAAATTAATAAATTAACAAAAAGACTTAAGAGTTTGCTAATACTATATAATGTTTTTAACTATATTTTAAAGAATTAAAAAAATTTTCATAATAAAAAAAAAACTGTTCCTTATATCTGAACTTGACTATAAAACAAGATAAAACTTATTGTATCTAATATTAAATAAGTTGTGTAGAATCTAAAAAATAACAGATATATTAGTAGTTTCAATGCTATAATTTAAAGGTTTATATATAACAGATCAAGATTAGATTAATATTAATACTATAATGATATTACTAAAACCTATCTATAAAGGTATCAAATTACTTTTCTTATTAAGCTATAAGAAATTAACTAAAACTAAAGATGAAACAAATCTAGTAAAATTATGTATTACTAAAAAAATTCTTAAAAATTTTGATAAATATTAAGAATTACAGTTTGTTTTTTAAAAAACAGTATTAGTTAATCTGTTATCTAAATTTTTCACTTTTGGTTCTAGTTTAGAAAAAAATAATGTATATTAGATAGTTAGCAAAACATATCAAAATTATGCTCCTTTCATTGAAAATACAATTGAACAAATTATAGAAACTAATCAATTGATTTTTTTTCATAACTACTTTTAGAACTAACTAAAACAGTCCTATAATGATATGTTTATTGTAATATATTAAATAAATATTTGAATATATCTAATGAAAATATAGATACTATTGCATTTAGAAAATTCAAATCTGTAAGCTCACAATAGTTACCTCTTGTTAACATGGCTCATGAATACCTTATTGTACAGGTAACCAGTATGCCAAATAAGAAGGCATTTTCAGTTACTAAACATATTTTAAATGCAGTATAAAATCACTTAGATGATAAAAAAACATATACAAATATGTGCTTAAAGATATGATATGATGCAGAAATAGCTAAGAGTGATTTAAAATATTTTTAAATAAAATTTAGTATTGTAAAAACATCTTTTTTTACAATTTTATAATATAAAAAATAAGAATTATCATTATGTTATATTATATGTATTGTATATTAAACTGCCAGAACTAAACTAGTTTTAGATAAAAGTTATGAATCAGTTCTTAACTAGTTTAGAACTAGACTTTTAAGAACTAAATTGGAACTGGACCAGACAGATTTTTTAACATCTCTAAAAAATTCTAGTAAATATATATATGTATCATAAGTTATAGAGCTATGTAAGATTAAAATCATTATTAAGAGACATGATATTCTATAGTACATTGTAAACATTTAGATTTTATTCTGAAGTTGGCTTCTACATAATAAGTTAGAACATATGTAGTAGAAGTTAATTATACTAATTTTAGAAAAATAGCTTATGTCTATCTCACAAATAATTATAGGCTCTGTAAAATAGTACAGAAAATAATTATTTTTATTTTTGTTTAACATTAGAATTATTGCATTTATATCATCTATATATTTAATATTAATAGTGAGACCATGCCTTTATCTTTATTAAAACTCAGTTAAATTTTTTACAAGTAGATTATACAAAAAAAATTTATAATTGAATTCTATATCTATAAGATATTAAGATTAGAGGCTCAGACAAGTTATCTGCAACCTAAATCTATTATCTATATATTTTATTTATTACTTTTACAATAAATATGCAAATAATAATTGCATTCATTACAAACCTTATATTCATGCTTTTATCATCTAAAGATATACTACTTTTTAATATAATTTTAACTTTTTTTATATTTTTTTATTGTTATATATAACAAAAAAATATGTACATGGCTAAAATTTATTATACAAATCTGTAATAAGTAGTATTTGTGTTTGTGATCTGTTTACAAACAAATTATACAGTAATAAGCCTTATATTAATAAGATTAAACTTTTATATATTGTCAAAAATAAAACTGTTACATTAAAAAATCTGCTAAGTGATTATTATAATAGCATACTTATCTAATTGGTAGTGCCTATAACAATTTACTTAAAACATATGCATTCAGTTTTAAGTAAATTATATAATATCACAAAGTCTTAATATAAGACTTCATTATCTCTTACTAATTAAAGAAAGGTTAATTTGAACTAATCTGTTTGCACTACTATGACTAGAAATGAATATTGACTCTACTTTATTCTATTTGAGTTAAGTGTAAAGCAATATTAAGAGAAATGTGATTGTAATAATTATGTTAGATTTTGGTTCTAAAATAAACAGTACTAAAACATTCTTATTAGTTCTATAATAAATATAAAAAATGTTAAAAGATTAAAAGTTAAAACAAAAATAGTTAAAATTTAATAGGAACATTAAGAAAAGTTATAATTTTGTATATATTTTTCTTATAAATAAATTTATTAAAAAAAGATAAAATTTCTTTTTTTTGAAAAATAGTTCAGAATAGTACAATAATATTCACAAATTTAATAAAATTTCTATATAATAATAACAAAAATTATTAATAAAGACTTTTTTGAACCATCTAATACAATAATACTCTTTAAAAATTTTTATACTTATTTTCTATACTTTTTTTTTTTTTTTATTTATATAATATTAAGTAAAAAAAATAAAAATATATTTATATATCAATTGGATATAGATGTATAACTAAAATATTATTCCTAAACTACACTATTGTTGTTATATACTACATCATTTAGTGTGATATTATCTTTTAGTTTTCTGTTTTTAGTTAAGTTAATTGACATGAACTTAACTATAAAGAGAGTAAAAGGAACCCTTAAGATTATTTAATTAGTAAAAATAAGTATGTATAGTAAAGTTTTGAGTAAGAGTTTTAGAAATAAAAAAATCTATATTAGTGTTGAAAATGAAAATAATACTGTTAGAGTTTGTAAGTTGAGGAGTAAATAATCTGATATTGTTTTTCTTTTTAGTAGAGAATGTAATTCCCCATAATAATTTCTATTCATATTGTTTAGTATTACAAGTTTGCCAAATAGTAGAGTTAAACCAAGTAAGTAATGAGTTAGATAAAGAAATAAGAAAATTGTTAGTTAGTTTTTTTAGAATAAGTTGAAGTTGGTTGTATTTATTAAAGGTTATTGTACCTTGAATAAGTAATAGTATTGTATTATATATATTTAAGTTAAAAGAAGTGTTTTGTATATTGTAAAAATGAAGTGAGTATTGAAATAAGTGTTCAGTGCTTTCATATTGATTGCAATGTGAGCAATTTAGAGTTAAATAAAGAAGAGAATAGCAGGTATAAAGTTTTGATATTGTAGGTAAATTATTGAAAAGTATTTTGTTTTTAATAGAATATAGTTGGAAAATTTCATAATGGTTTGAGTTGAAAAAGTTTATTAAATGTTTGTATTAAAATTAGGTTTTTACAGAATTTATGTAATTTGTATGTAATTAGAATTTCTTTTTAAGAAAAATAAATAGGTAAATAAAAGTGATTAAGATTAAATTTTAATTTAGTTTTGTTGGCATCTTGTTTGGCAAGAGAATCGGTTATATTGTATAAAGTATTTTTTGAATATGATATAACTTTATATATGGTGTAATTGATGTTTTTGAGTTTTATTAAATAATTGAGCATATGTATAATATCCAAATTATTTTGTTTAGTTTGTGATTTGTAGTAGTAAGGTAGTACATTAAAGAGTATTTAAATAGTAGATAAACTATCAAAATGAATATGAATTTGATAGTTGGCAGGTAGAATGCGAATAAAGAAATGAGTACTGCTAATTCTGCTTGTGTTGAGTTTGATGCATGAGTTATAGAAGCATTAAATTTGATTTGTATATCCTTTTCAAGAATCCAAGTGATGCCTGTTAAGATGTTATTTGTTTGTAAATTGAATATAAAGGCATTTGTATAGAAGTTTAGATTAGTTAATTCTAGCAATAGGATTTTTTTATGAAGATCAATGAGTTGGTTTTGGTAAGTAGGATTGGGTATTATGTTTTATATTAAAAGAATTTCTGAGGAAGGTATTGAGAGGGAGGGTGAGGATTGGGAAACTGGTTTGTAGAGCTCTAAGTGAATATTTTGAAGTGTTTAAATTTCTTGATTGTTGATGTTAAGCTCAAAGTATTGTTGTTTTTTTTGTATTTTGCATTTTAAATTAATAGTATTTTTGTAGTTGATTTGAATCATTGTTAGTGTAGAAGAAATGCAGATTGTGTTAGATGTTGAATTGATAATTTGATAGTTTTAAAAAAGTAATAATGAGTTGAATTTGTTTGTTATTTTGCTTATATGCCAGTTTGGAGGTGAGATGTAAATTGTTCATGTATTTTTAATGTTATCAGATTGAGGTGTTATTAAATTAAGTGTATTTAAAAATGAATTTATTAGTAAAAGTTGGATGTTGGACTATATGCATGTTATAAAAAAAATAGATATTTGGTTTGAAAATATTTTGAATCAGCTTGAAATGGGGCCTTATGAAGATTTAAGAGTTTTTAAATATATGTTTTTCTAAAAAAGTAGATTTAAATAGTTAGCTATAAAGAATTGTTTGAGAAAAAAGATTTTGTTATTTTTAAGACTTGAAATTGTTAAATTACTTGAAAGTAAAATAAAGTTGTAAATGTTGTTTAGTTGGTTAGTTTGTTTATAAGTTGATAGTTAAGTTAGATAGAAGTTATTAAAAGATATATTGTTTTTATAAGTAGTAAAGTTGTAATATTATGATGAAATTGGTAATTTTCCTGTAATTTTTTAAAATTATGTCTTGTATTAGAAATGGTTTTCATATTTTGAAAAGCTATTCCTTAATTCAGTGTATAGTAATTTGATTTAGAAGTTTATTAGTATTAAGCATCTTTTTATATTGCTGCTACTAACTTGTAGAATTAGTTTGTTTAGTATAGAAATGTTAAGTAATTGTAGGTTTGTAAATATATTATTGTTTATATTTGTAGATAAGTGGAGCATATGTTTAGTGTATTTTGTTAAGAGACTTGATAATCATTGAAGCTGGTTTTGTGAAGAAGAGCAGATTTGAAGTAAGTATTCGATTAATAATAAAAAAATAGTATTAAATAGTTAAAATATTTGTATAGAGAGGAGTTTTTTGTATTGAATCATATAAGTGAATTGAGAAACTTTGCTAATAATATTTTCAAGTATAGGTTTAGTTGATCCTTTTTCATTTAAAAAGATACCTAAGTATCTAATTAAATCATTGAGTTTGCAGAGTATAATTGATTGGTTATTAAAGTTTAGAGGATTTATATCTTGAATAGTAATAAGTAATGTTTTTTTGTTAGGTAAGATATGAATGAGATCTGATTTAGATAGATTAACTTGTAGTTATTTAGTTGATAAAGTTCAGATATGCAATTAGAATATTTTGAAGATTATTTTTGGATTCACAGCACCATAATGTATCATTTATAAAGATAAGAGATGGTTTTGTTGTAGTAGATGCAATAGTTGAAAAGATTGTTTTTAATAAAGATTATGATGAGATTTTAAGGAGTTTTGAATTGTATTTTGAGTTTATGTAGCTAAGAATAGGGTCATAGTAAATTTTCCAAAATAGTAGATAATAGGTTTCTTCTTGTTCTATGCTTGAGTGTGATGTAATTAGGTCAGTTAGACCATAGACAGTAATTGCTTTGGTTTTTCTATTTTGATAAAAGAATTTAATAAAGTTTAAACCAGTCTAAGGGATACCAATATGTTTACAAGCATCTAGTAACTGTTGAATATTAATTTTGTTAAAGGCCTTGAACATGTCTTGAAAGAGTATTTATGCCTCTTTGTTATTAGTTTTGTAATGTTTAATTGTATTTAGTAATATTTGTATAGAAATATGAGTTGAGCTATTCTTAC